GGAAAGGACATTTGCTAAATCCTAGACAAACATACGTGATATGAATTGCGTTGCACTTTTTTTCTGAGCAAACTGCATAAAACTTGAGCAAATAAAGTCTATTGTCTTTACATTTCTGATCTGTACAGCCAGTAGTTTTAAGCAACACAGATATATATTTGTATATGACTTAAACGTTTCATTTCCATGTCAATTGCAAATTTAGTTCAATTCATTTCAAGGGTAACATCATTTTCCTCTTAAATAACTAAGAAATGTAAACAGTGTAACATCATAAAAATCTCTTCAGTACTTATAACCAGTAAAATGTGAATGCAAACAGATGTGCTGGTGTATTGTTAATGCAATGTCTCAGAGGACATACAGTAAAACATAATCAGCAAGAAATTTATGTATGAATCCTCCAGCGATTTACTTTCTGGGATTACATTGAATACAAATATAATTTAATTGATATATTTCATTTTTTAAAATTAGAAAATAAGGCAAGTGCATTTCGGAAGAAGGTGCTACACTTCTAGGATACTAGATAAACATGTGACAATTCTGAAAATTATATCAATAATAAAAACATCAAAAATATCCGCAATTTAATATAGACTGAAAAACTATCAAAAGACAAAGTGACCAGCATCAATTTCAGAAAATATTTTAGACTTCATAAATACAAGCACCCTATATTTACATAAATTATCTTCTAAGCTAGTTTTCCTTTGAGAGAGACACTTTTGTTCTACTAGATATGCTCACGAAATTATATAAATGTTTCAAATATGAAAAAAAGTAGTAAACTAGAAATATCAGATGATGTTACTATTTTGGATTTGCTTTTCGCTAAGATTTGGTTCTTGAGAATCTGTGTTCAGCTCTTACAGAGCTTTTAAAAAATACAACCCACGGAAATGGAAAACTGATGCAATAATAATTACTGCTAGGGTATAAAGACTGTAATATGAGCTTTGAGTTTTTACATACAAAGACTACATCAATATTTGTAAATCTCAGCAAAATGCTTATTTTAAAAATTGAATTGGAATACACTGTTTCATCATAGTACAAATTCATATAGCCATTATGCACCTAATTCTGTTACATAAGCTTTGTACATTAAGCACATGTATAACTATAAATTGAATATTTCAATTAAAAAAGTTATGCTTCAATACAAGGTTGATGTTGAACTTACACAAAACAGAATATAATCCTTTGTATCTCTTTCTGAAAAACTGGGAGACAGAATCCTGTTACATGCAATTTTTTTTTTCCAGAAGTACAATGTAACTCTTTAGATTGTTACTAAAAACAGAAAAAAACCCCCAACAATTTAGGTAGAGTATTAGTTGACAGGACACATTTCACTAGGCTTCAATCACATTCCTATGTCTAGAGATATAATAATGGGCAAAAACCTTGTTTCCTTTGAAGCGCAGGGAATTGTTTTCTTTTACTTCAATAGTAGACTGAAAACGAGCTGTATCTTTCCTTGCAATAATTGGATATTGATCACTAGAGTTCGAAATTGTAAGAATTTATCCCCAACTAATCAGCTAATCTTTACAGTATCTTATTAGAAAAGCAAAAAGAATCTACTGTACAAAGATGCTTGGCTCAAGCAGTAGTGCAAACTTTTACTGCCCCAGTACTGAATGCTCCTCTAAGGTTAGCAGTTAGTGCACAGAGTAACAGTGCGACACCTTACCTTCCAAACACTGTTTATGTAACATTAAAAAAAAGTTCCCCGCAGCCTCAGGCAATAAAAATAGTCATATAATAACTCATCAGTGAAAAGCAATAGTTTGAGAACAAGTGCCATTTACATTGTATTCTGTTTCTGAAAATGTTATAGCTGAGCAACACAGGAGCACTTCCACTGCAACTCCCACTTAAAATCTTCCACCCCATGCAGGTCACTGACAAGCTTTTAGTACAAAGGCTGGTGAAGACCGACCTGACCACCAAAACAGACGGTACGTTCAACTAGACTCTGGGGAAAAAAGGGAACTGTAGTTTACCACTGAGCGGCCGAACGTACCCCGTGTCCGCTACTAAACTGACTGCTCACCTGAGGTACTGCAGTGCAGGGGCTGGCACACCAAGGAGATGGGGAGGAGCTTCCCGAAAAACCGGACTGCTGCAGTCGTTGTTCACCGCTACGCAGTGCTCCAGGTAGAAAATTTGTTTTTATCTGCTTAACCCTCAGCACTAAAATCCACCAGTAGAGATCCCACTACATATTTTACCTGAGAAACAGAGGAAAAACTCAGAGGCAGTTCTGAATAGATTCATAATGTCGCTTTACTCTAAAAACCTAACCAAAGGTATTTTTAGAGCAATTAAAATAGGACCATTATATTTTCCCCCAAAATATCTGTATAAAGAATATATAAGTGCATAATTAGAAAATCCCTCCTAAAATACAGTTACAAACATATTCTGCCCTTGATATTACTCAACTTTGGTAAAATCCTATGCTCTGATTTATCTATTTTTAGCAGTGATAAGTAACTATACATCATCAAATCACCAAAAGTGTAGCTAGTGGTAAATCCTACTTGCAGCCAAACAGCTAAATCCATCAGGCTTTACACTGAGATAAGATTTTCAGCAGCCTGACTGGGGCTGTGCATTGCTTTTGCATGGTTACAAAAATGACTCTGATAATGTGCATCAGCTCATGTCTGAATTCATTTATATATTAATTTCTTATTTTCTCCCTTCATGTCCCAATCAGAACTGCAAATGGAATCATGTCTTTTCCATGACCTGATCCTGTCCACAGTTGTATTACCTCAACAAATTTGTATTTTCTTATCCATATAAGATTTCCTAGAAATCCCCAACTCCTTTCAGGTAAATTGCCAGCTTAAAAATAAAAAATAAGAAAACAGGAACATAAGAAAATAAAATATAGAGCCTGTTGTTTAACACTGTTTACAGATCTTGGTAGCTGGGAGAATAAAATACAGTATGTGTAGTATTTAGCAATAGCTTTAAAATACACCATATTATACATCTTTTGATTTAATCAATACCAGTATTCATTTATGATTATTACCAATTTGTATGTTAAACTCTTTTCAAAGTGTATCAATTTTATTGTAAATAAAACAATTCACTAATTCTTTGGCATCAGAGGAATCATACAGCTGTGATTGTTCCATTGTGGCGAGAACGAGACCTTTCCAAAGTTACTCGTCTGTTATCTGCAATACAAAGAGAGAAAAAACAAATCACCATAAGATTTGAAATGTGGGTAATGCAATGTCAAGAGGTTTTCAAACAGCTCTGAAAATCATTTCAAATGATATGTAAATAAGTAACTAGGAGATTGGATCAGAGAAGTTTCACACTGCAGCTGCCAGACTGAGTTCAAGAGTTCTGCAATCAGCAATAAATTACTTTCTTGATCAGAGAAGCAGGGTGATAAAAGCATTGGGAGAATCCTGAAACATAGTCCCCTTGGAAATAGCACACAATAACTAAAATGCTGGGTAAAAATCTTATTTTATAAACAATTTATGTACAGAAGCTCTGGAGAAATGCATTTTAAATTTCACGAGAACGTACTGACCAGCGTGGAGTGAAAAGCCTAGCGCAAGACACACGAGATGCGTAAGAGCTCTAAGACTGTTCGCTATAATCTGGCACAGAGTTAAAAATAGAACAGTTAAATGAGCCACTTCCTAAGCGTTTCCTGATTGTGCAACGTGAACAACTTTTGATATAAAATATTACACAGTAATTATTGCAATGAATAATAAATATGTCTCTGTCATAGGAAAAGAAAGTAATCACAAACTACCACTACATACCTAAATGCCGTCCAAATAAAATTTTAAAGCGATGAATATGGAAAAAACAAAAACATGATGAGAGGCAGAAAAGAGAAGTTGAGGGTTTCTTTTTTTTTTTTTTTTTGGGCTAGTTACTTTTCTAGGGGTTTTGATCTTACTGTTTTTTAAATGTGGTCCTGCCTCCTGCTACCCAATTTTATCTCATTACTGTTCACTTTCGTCTTACACCAGCAAAGCCAGAAATGGCCCAAGCGCACTGAATAAGGTCCTGGAGTAGACCGAGAAAGTCATTTCTGTGATCTGCTTCTAGACAAGGTAAGGAGGATGTCTGCGGAGACTGCCTGGGCTCTGCAAAAACAACCTTCCTTTTCCCTTCCAACAAAAGCATCTCCAGTGCTAGAGGGAATTATGGCTCCGTTAGCAAGATTATTAGCTCTTTTTATAGTTCCGCCTTGCCTCCTTTTCCTAATGAATCTATCCATGCATAAAGTATTAAAATTACCCCAAGTAAATCTGTTTTGCAAGGGAATAAATCTCTACACTGGTTGCAGTGTCACTAGGCACTGGAAATTAAAGCACAGAAATGCTGTTTAAAAACCAGGAAGGGCAGACATCAACTCTAACGTGCTGTTGTTCTGCTGTAATAGCAAACAGTAAAGAGCATAGCGATACTTGCTCTCAGTGGGGAGAAGCGCCTTCACCAATGCACTATTTGTTGATTTAATTTCAATATCATCAACTGCGGAGATTAAAAATAGATTAAGAGATTTTAAAAACCTCTTGATTTCTTCTTCATACATGTTTTTTTCATTGTTAAGTCTCCTTTTTTTTTTTTTCCTCCGAATGGTGGAGACAAGCATTTTCTGCAAATGACAGTTCACATTCTCTTGCCATGGCATGACTCTGAACTAGGACTTAAATAAATCACAAATCAAAACTGTAAAAGCTAGAAGCAGCATAATTTCCTTCTTAGTTGACGACAAACTATTTTCCTAGTTATTGGAAGTAACTTATTCTTTTAATTATTTCAAATTTTAAAATGAAAAACAATTATAATTTCTAGAGATAGGGATACAAGATCTCAAATACTCAAGAGAGACTGGAAAGAACCACAGATCTAGCCAAGAAGACTGGAATACAATGATGCAGTTATTATCACTGAGAAATAGTGTTAACATTTGCAAGAGACTTCTTACGCAAAGTTTAGAGCAGTTTATGCTGTGTCTTACTGAAACATAGGAAAGTTGAACATAAATTACAGTCTGACAAATTTTTTCTGTCATTACAAAAAAGGAATAGGAGGATTAGATGTAGTGACTAGTAATGTGAAGCTTTAACAATGAAAGATTTTGGGGCTTTGCAAAAAAAAAAAAAAAAAAAAAACTTTTCTTCATCTGTGGATCTGCAAGTATCTTTTTTTTTTTTTTTTCCTCTTTTAGTGGTGGCACATTTTTGCACCTGAGAAGCAAGCAGAAATAACTGGAAAAACTGCTGATCAGTCATGCCTTCTGGGTAACCTGTCTACCTACGCAGATGAAAACCTTGGTTCTGGCTTTTGGTGTCAGAAGTTCAGGAAGTACTTTCTTAGAAGTAGCCCATTTAAGTAGCACCTGAAATGCTCTTAATCGGTACACACATCATCATCTCTCTCCGAAATAAGCACGTGAACTTAAAAGTGATCTCTCAATCAGTTGAACGGACTCTTTCTTTTAGCTGTATAAGGTAGAGTAATACAGGATAAAAAGGGAAAACAAATCACACTAAGACTATTTTATGACAAAAACTAATGTTTATCTCGTAGCTAACTGGATCAAATTCAAATTAAGCAAACTATGAGTGAACACAGAGATTTCTGTAGCATATTTTAATAACAATAAATAAGCACAATAAGCTCTGTGCATAAGCAAAATTAATAGATACCATGAGGAAAATATGAAAAATAAAAAATATGAACAATTCTTTTTAGATAATGCATTTTAATTTTATGGCATCTCTTGACTTTACCCTTAAGAAGTTCTTCCCTAAACACTCTGCATGTAAAACACGTTAGAGATCTGGTAGGAGAAAGAGAAATATTTTTGCAAAAATTACACTCTGCAACACGCATTTTCCTTTCTTTAATGCTTTGCATTAGTTCTATTATTAAAAAAGAAGTCTCAATAGCTGCAGATTTGTTAACTGAATAGTTTGTCATCAGCATGAAACAGCTATGTTAAAGTAAAAATGAACATATTTTGCAGAACTGCTATACTAAGATTAAATGACTTTTCCATTTCACTTCTCATCCATTTTTCCAGGTAGTACCTTTGTACTCATCTAATTATCAGCCTAACTTTTTACGAGCAAACAATGCTCATGATCATACAGATGCTGTGAGATTGAACTAACTCATATGTACAGCAGCCATTCACGAGACTGAAATATGTGATAAGAGAAAAAGCCACAGTCCACAAAACTACACCTTAAAAGGCACTCAAATAAAAATTATATTATCCTGTAACAAGCACAGAAAGTTTTTTCACTTTGACAGGCCTTTTATTAAAATTACAGGTGTATTAAACTGTTACCTTGGGCTTTTAATGACTAATATTTGCATAGTTACTGAGTTGGCTAATTCACCAGGATTAAATCAAATCTTTTCAGTCAGTCAAAGCAGTTAAAAGAACAATTATTTGTCTTAATATTTAAAATACACAGAAACTGTATAATTATTCTGTGGGCAAAATGTCAAAGCTCATCAAATACACCTTTACGGAAAATACTTTTGCGCTTATCAGCTTGGGCATACAGTTATCATTTGCTAACTCAGCTAAGATCTTGGGGGTATCCTACAACAAAAAAGCACTACTCTTACAAAAAGCAGGGAAACTATGTCAGACTAGAAAATAAAATTGAGAACTAAAACATCTACTAATTAAATAATGAATTGCCTTTAATCTAATTATCTGTCTGCCTTTAATCAAGTTAGTTACAAGTTACTGAAGATTATTTCAGTGTTCACCATATTCCTTCGTGTTTTCTTAAGTTTACTGTAGGAAGTAAACTTTGCATAGTCTCTGTCTAGTTATAAATACATTCGGATTTAGATATTTTAAAGGTACGGATAAGGATAACTTCTATAATTATACTCATTAAATGTAAATTCATTACAAAAGCTCTAAACTTCAGTAAATTGTAAACTTAAGGTTGTAATGTCAAATGCTCCAAAACTAGGAATTGTAGTTCTAGTTCTGTCCCAAAATGTGTTTGCATTGGGATAACCATCTGTTTGCTTGTTTGTTTGTTTTCCCCCATGAGACAACTACTTCATTCAATCTACACGATGTACAGTAAATCAGGACTGTTAAATATTTCATTTCAGTCCACCTAATTCAAAGTCTTTCTTTACGCCTTATTTACAGCACCCAATCGAAACATTAGATTGAATTTGAAATCTAATTTCCTTGTAGACCTTCCTAGAGGGCTCATCAGGAGACTGTCTAAGTTCTTTCCAAATCTAAATAACTGCAGCATTACAAAATAGCATGGAAGGGTGAGAGGGGAGGAGGGGAGGAAAAAAAAAGATAGATTGGTGTGGATAACTACTTTTTGCCCTTTATTTTTTTAAACAGAAGATTGAAACATTAATCTTTAGGCAGAAGACAAAGCCTTTTACCTTCTTCAAAGAGAAGACAATAAGCATTTCAAAGACAATAAGCATTTCAAAGAATGTCTTAGTTAATAAATGCTACGTTAATCACATTAAGAGCAGCCTAGTGTCAGAACACGGAATCCTGAGTTTATGACACTGGGTGCCCAGCTAGCGATTGCTGTACTGGAGCACATGCTGGATGGCACGAGCCCTAACACAGAAACTCTGAAATGCTGATATTTTAAACAGCTCACATTATTAACTTGCATATTCAAAGTCAGCAGATCTCTTTTTGACTGCCTACCAAAAGGTGAAAAAATTGCCCTGCGCTGATAAAAGAAAAGGGCATTTAATGCTCAAAAAAAGAAGCCAGCTTTAATTGACTTGAAAATTATCTTACAAAGAAGGTAAACACTCAGCAATGAAAAACATATTTAAAATTTCATCTTTTCAAAATAATTTTGGCTATGCAAACAGATGCAGAAAGGCACCCTGTAAGGGAATGTGTATGCCTTATGCCTTGGTGAAGCGATGACGGCATTTGCATCAAATATTTATTTATTCATTCATGGAAAATTTTGTTCACTGGCAAATCCTACTGAAATGCATCTTGTATTCAAGAGCATCCCAGGGGAAAACATTCATACAGTTCCAGGCATTTCAGTAAATACCATAAACAATGTAACATGGAAAACAATCAAAATAGCAAGGTACAGTTTCATATGGAATGTAAGTATGGAGTGATTACACTAAAAATGAGTTAGCCGGCCACGAGAGC